CTAAGGACAAGTCGGACAGATTTTATCGCTGCTATGAAACATAATGTGCTTACAATATAATGGCAGTTAACCACCTAACTTTTTAGAGAGTCTACACTGACTGACGAAGATTTTCCTATAGAGTAAACCTTTCATTTTTCTTCTCCTCTTCTTCATTTTCTTCCTATTCTCATTCTTATTCTTCTTATTATCATTATTATAAAAAAAAAAAGAAAAAAAAAATCCCCATGGGGAAACAAGACCCTACCTGTTTTTGTTTGTTTGTTGGTTTTTTGTTTTTCTATTTTCTAAAATGAAAATGAATTCTGCATTAGAAGAAGATGAGGAAGAAGTAAAAGAAGAAAAAAATCTAGCCTTGACAATCTGCCAAAAACTTGGTCCATATACTTTCCTTTTGCTAAAATGAATAAAAATCATAACACCGACAAGCAGTCTTATAATAATCTGAAATGAAGAAAATGTCATAGCCATGAAACAATTAATACTACACGTATATCTTATTGGGAACATGGGTAAAAAGTATCCTATTAAAAATAAACAACAAAAAATACACATAACTAAAGATAATAATGCATATAAAATAAACATACCCTGAGTAATATTACATGGCCACCATCAACTGCTTCAAAGAAACATATATCAGAGTTTTAAACAAATTGGACAGATTATGCTTCATGTACTGTATAAAAACATGTCATATTCTCCCCCTACAAAGTATATATGTTCAAAATATTTCTGTCAAAGTATGCAATATACAGAATATTAAAGGATATTTAGTGTACATACTACTGAATCCGTCCAGCATATATACCTAAATCAGTTAATGAAGAAGAAAGGAAATCCACTGATACAGATCAAATTCATTAAAATAATAATGATCACAACCTAGAACATCTCTAGAGACTAAAAGTAAATTGTTTCTGAATAATTACTCAGAACGTCTGTCTAATAATGCTGATGAAGGTCTTGCAAAATATCGTACATATTTCTATATTGTGTGCAAAGTATTTGTATTGGAAAAGTATACCTCGAGGAAAAAAAAAAGTAATAATAATGATGATGGTGATTAAATAAAAGTTACTTCATCTATCAATACCAGAAACAATGCGGAAATTAGCAGGAGGAGCTTCTGGCTTTCTAACATCACCAAGTCCAAGAAAATAACCTTCAGTATAGTCACTGTAGCAATAGAGCAATATATCAAAATACTGTATAAAAGGAGACATGAAAAGAGAAGAGAATGAAGAACTCAGCCACATATTGTACAAAGCTATTTAAATCATTTACATGTGGAATGTCACTGACTATGAAAATGGTATTGATTAAGAAAAACAAAAGAAAAAAGAAGAAGACGAAGACGAAGAAGAAGAAGAAGAAGAAGAAGAAGAAGAAGAAAAGGAGGGGGGGGGGATGTGTGGTTGAAGGAAATCTTGTACGTCCCACTTTAGTACCCGCACAATCAAGGAGAGCGTATATTATGGAAAAGATAAATTAATGAAAAATTAAATAAAATTAGGAAAAAAAAAAAAAAAAAAAAAAAAAAAAAAAAAAAAAAGAGAAACATTTTCTTTTCTTTTTTTCTCTTTGTTTCTATCCATAAAAAATAGCTGGAGGCAATCTCAGTCTAGCACCATTATGGGCTACAGGTGAGATGTCAAGATTCAATCTCATCAGTCCTTTTTAACCCTAGTTATCTTAACAAATAATGAAAAGATGTCAGAAAGAATTTCAGAGAGAAAAAAAGAAAAAGAAAAAATGTCCATGGTTCTAGGAATACCTGAAGATCTGTACATTCGAAACCATCTAGAGACATTCCTTCTATCTTCTGTAATTATTTTCTGTACTAATCCTAAGGACATACGGACACAGCTTAAAAATGCTTTTTGGACCATTAGTTCCACATCAGTAATATATCCTCAGACATCTGAGATACACAGTCCTACAACAGGAAAAACAAACAAGTTTCTGTTGATGTCTTGAGCTAAAACTGCATGCAACAGTGACTTTGAAATACATTTTCCTGCTTTCTAATAAATAAGTCTTTGTTAGCATGTCATGAAATGAGTGCTGCTAACAGACAAAAACTTTTAAGAATTTCTAACATTAATTCCAGAAAGATTAAGAAAGAGTGTAGTAACCCTCTTTCCCAAAAATCTGCCTTCCATACTCTTAATTTACAACCATAAATCACATACATTGTCTCCCAAAGCATCAACTTTCACTGCTTACACTATCTTTCATTCTTGAGTGATGGCTGCATCACAGCATAACTTAATCTTTAATCTCAAATAATCTTAGTATTATGAGTGCCTATCACATTAGCATAAGGTAGAAAAAAAAAAAAAAAAAAGTTTCATAAATATCTTCAGCAACCACTTAGCAGGATATTCTTATGCCAAAGCACTTTTCACCGTTTTGCAGCAACTGCATTTCAAGTGTATGAAATACACGTGTATTCATCATGTTCCTGCCATGATTAATATTGGCTTGGATGATTCTC